ATATATATATAATTATTCGAAGCAAATAAATGGGACCCTCAATATGGAAGAAGAAAAATATATTGCCAAGACACTACTACAAATGCACAAAGATATAGACATATGAGTATTGATTGATTATTGTATTATTGATAAATGGGTCAATGGCATGATGTCATGTTTGTCTATCTATCTATCTATCTATCTATCTGAATGAATTCATTAATTAATTAATTTATAAATAAATATATATATAAGCAATTCACAGACACAATGGCCTTTCTATGATGAATACATTTAGACATTTTAGTTCAAAAAGATGATAATATTTATGATTTCAAATTCATGACATATAAAAAAATAAAAAGGTAAACTTTTATTTACAATAACAATTAATATGTCTTCACTCAAATGTATTGCAGGTCCAAGAAGAATTATGTTATTACTTTTTATAACACATGAAATTATTAGTCATTAAACTGAAAATTTTCTTGACCAAAACAGGAATCCAAAAATTACATTTCTAAGAATGTGGCACATAAAAAAATTCCAATCCCATGACTGTCATAAGCAAATTCTCAGTTATTCTCACATCCCGACTTCCTCCATTCACCCTTTTGAAAGTGATCTCTGTAATTGTGGAGTTTCAAACAGACCTGATTCAACATGTTGAGCAATTAGAACGGCAACACATGAAATTAATAAAGGAACGACAGCCCTACTGTCTCTGTATCGATGCCAATTGCATCTAATGAGGCTTCAGAGCCCTAAGGTACACCGGTCCCATTTCAGTTGTGTACTAAATGTTTAACTTCCATGCAAATAAATTAATCACTTGCACCAACACAAATAGGCATACAGTTGTTCAAAAACATCCCATAAATTGAGTTTGGTCATTAAGGCAGTGTAACTTCAATAGAAAAACAGACCTCATTCACTTTCAGTATATTGAAAGTGTGCACATGATATTCTTCAAAAAATAATGTTTTGTTTTCCACAGAAGAAAAAAGTTATGCAGTTTGTAACAACATTGGGGTGAGTAAATGATGACAGAAGTATTAGTTTTAAGTGAATTATTCCTGTCATGGTGAGTGATAGAATTTTTAATTAAGCTCAAAGCTGTTACCACCGTCAGCATCACAAAGCTTAGGACGTCACTAGAGGTAAAAAAGCTGATGGGGTTACCAGCTGGGTGATCCCAAAAACAGAGGAACAGATGCTAATGATAAAGTGCAGCTGGGATGAGATGTTGCCATTGTTTTTTTGTTTGTTTGTTTTTTGTCCCCCTGAATTCATCCTGTAACAGATGTGTTCCATTAAACTAGTGCATCCCAATATGCTTACTTATGCACTATTCTGTGCCATTTTTAGTATAAATAGTAAGAGTAGTGTGTTCACACCCTATGGTTCCCACCAAAAATTCAGAAAATAAAAAGTGCACTAGAAATTACGTACTGGGGCTATCAGACTCTGACATTGGATGACAAAATAGCATTATATAATTCATACACTAGGTGGTTGAATAAATACTGCATTAAGTGTATAGTGCGTCACGCATTACACAACTTTACTCAAAGCAGAAAACTTAAAAGGATAGTCCATCCAAAAATCAAAAATCTGTCATCATTTAGTCATCATCATGTTTTTCCAAA